CTCAAGTTAGTCGCTCCCATCTTGTGGAATTGCTAAACATCACTTGTGATTTTAGCAATTCTATTGGAATGGAGCTGGGGACGGATAAGTGTGCGATCCTCCATGTCGAAAGGGGAAGGGTTGCTAACTCTGAGGGCATGAACTTATCTATGCCCATCAGCATAAGGACCCTATCCGAGGCTGAAACATACCGATACCTGGGTATGTCACAGAACATCGGTGTCGATGAGGCGGGTATGAAGCAGTCAGTTTGCGATGTGTTTTATGCACGCTTGACAAAAATGCTTAACAGTCTTTTGTCGGGCGTTAATAAGACACACGCTTATAACGGCTGGATCATGCCTGTTCTCATGTATACCTTTGGCATACTCAGGTGGACTCAGACCGAACTGAACGCTCTGGACAGAAAAGTCCGCACTATAATGACGTCCCACAGAGTGCATCATCCGAGATCGTCGGTAATGAGGCTGTACTTGCCGCGGAAGCATGGTGGGCGCGGCTTTTTAAGCGCGCTTACCCTGCATAATCGCGAAGTGTGCAGCCTCCGTAATTATTTTCTGTCGAGAGCGGATGATCCATTCTATAGGGACGTTATTTTTTGTGATAAAGGACTTACCCCTCTATCCTTAGCCAACGAGCAATGGCAAGACCCGGCAGTACAGAGCATTTCCGACCGGGAGACCGTATGGAAGGAGAAGGAGCTCCACGGGAGGTTCTACAAGGCTCTACATGAACCTTTCGTAGATACAGTTGCCTCCCTCCACTGGCTACGTTTTGGTGACCTCTTCGGGGAAACCGAGGGTTTTGTCTGTGCAATACAGGATCAGGTTATTAAGACCAACAACTATCGGAGATACATCCTAAAGGATGGCACCGTCGACATTTGTCGAGCTTGTCGCCATCCTGGTGAATCACTTAGGCATGTCATCTCCGGTTGTTCGGCGCTTTCTAACTCTGAGTACTTGCATAGGCACAACCTAGTAGCCAGGATTCTACACCAGGAGCTCGCTCTGAAATACGGTCTCGTGGATCGGAAACTGCCTTATTATAAGTACATGCCGGAAGCTGTGCTCGAAAATTGACCGCGCCAGGCTCTACTGGGACCGGGCCATCATCACAGACAGGACCATTCTTGCGAATAAGCCTGATATTGTGCTGATGGACCGGACACAGTCAAGGATATTTTTGGTCGATATTACCATTCCGTATGACGAGAACCTCGTGAAAGCCGAAACAGATAAGCGAACAAAATATCTGGACCTGGCTCACGAGGTGACCGACATGTGGGGTGGACTGCCGGCCGAAATTATTCCTGTGGTCGTTTCTGCGAACGGGTTAATCCCAATCAGCCTCTCGGGTCACCTGAGGCGACTGGGACTCCGTGACGGATCGCTTCAAGCTCAAATGCAAAAGGCGGTGCTCCTCGATACCGCCCGCATCGTCCGCCGGTTTCTTTCCCTTTCCCCCTAACCCTCGGCCGTTTGGTCTCCCCTGCCGAGGGCTTCCATCTAGTTGGGTTTTTGTATATTTATGTAATTTTTATGTATTTATTTTATTTTATTGATATTTATGTAAGTTTATCATTTTCATTTTCAATTATATATTTATACAGCCCAACCAGATGAGAAAACTATACAAATACCCCAGATAATAATAATAATAATTTATTTTATTTTCTCACCACAATACAGAATTATTGTACATAATATTATAGTATAGCCTCAATAATATACTGTGGGAGACTGGTGCCTAAGCTAGGCTTTACGCCTGTATTTCAGGACGCCAGGTCTCCGACCTATGGTGGTACGTGCTTTTGTTTGTTAGTTTGTGACTGGGTTAGTAATTAATTAGTTGTTCAGTGTCATAATAATTTAGTTCTTGGAGCCAGATAGTTATTTTCGTTTTGCATATAGTTTTGTTAACGTTAAATATGGGGATGTATTTTAATAAAGCATGCTGTTTTAGTAAGGTACTTTGTATAAACAGTTGCCGCACAGTTAAAATTTTCAACTCTTTATATGGGAGCTCTGTAGGATAGCGATACGGCAGTGAAAAAGAGACCTTTAAGATGGCTCTCTGCGTTCTCTCCAATTGAAGCATTTTAGCGTTTGGAGCACCGCCCCAGGAGTTAATACCATATGTTAACAGAGATTGGGCCAAGGCGAAGTAGACGGATTTCTTTAGTTTCTCGTCAGCCACATCTCTCAGAGTTTTAAAAACATATATAAGTTTACGCAACCTGCTATTAAGGGTATTAATGTGTTCATGAAAACGTAGAGTGCTATCAATTATTACTCCTAGATATTTTACTTTTTCAGCTTGACATAGTTTGATGCAGGTAACTGCGTTATTAAGTGAGTTGGAACATGAGTGACTTACGATGGAGTATGGTGGTGATGATGTTGTTAATGTGTTATTTTTTAATCTAAATGTAACATAACATGTTTTATCTATGTTGAGTGTCAGCACATTACTTCGGAGCCAGTTAGAGACTGTGTTGTAGCCCAATTGGGCGTACGTATAGACATCTTGCCATGAACCTGCGCTAAATAGGAGGACGGTATCATCTGCAAAACTTATGATCCGCCCTTTAGGAAGAGTGAGCATACTCATTTCATTAATATATATAAGAAATAAGGTTGGAGAGAGTACACTGCCCTGAGGCATACCATAGGTAATTGTGCGTTCAGCACTGATGAATTTCTCCACCTGAACGCACTGAGTACGTCCACTCAAGTAGTCTTCAAAAAGTTGCAGTTGTATACCTCTAATTCCCAAACTCTCCATCCTACGTAAAAGTATGGGCACAGAAACCGTGTCCAAAGCTTTGGCGAGACCTAGAAATATGCCAAGAACCTTCTGCCCATTGTCCAAATTTGTAACAATATAATTAGTAAGATCATGAATCAAATCCGACGTAGATTTACCTGACCTAAAACCATATTGTGAGGGCGAAAGAAAGTTATGTTTTTCCAAGTAGTTTACGAGCCTGTTGTTTATTATGCGTTCGAGTATTTTGGACAAGGCAGGCAGCACAGCTATAGGTCTATAATTATTGACACGGTCTCAGTCGCCACCCTTATAAATCGGGTGTATGATCGATTTTTTAAAAGCTTTAGGAAATTTTCCGGTTGTGAGAGCCAGATTGCAGATATATGTCAGGGGTGGGACAACTACATTAATATGCCTTTTAAGGAGATTAGAGGATATTCCATCCCAACCCACAGCACAGTCATTACGGAGAGATAATATTAATCTTGCAACCTCGTCCTCATCCGTTGGTAACAATACCATGGAGTGTGAGTTGTTGTTATTGTAGCTGTTAAAAGCTTTTTTTGTTGACTCTGTAAGTCCATCCGATATCTTTTCCGCGAGATTTTTACCTATATTAGCGAAAAATTCATTAACTGAATTAACAGATAGCTCCGGAGTTGATGATGTGGTTAATAAGTGATAGGATGAATTTTCTTTCTTTTTTGCCCTATTTGTTATGTTATTTATTGCTCCCAGAGTTTTTTAGGACTATTACTAGCCTTTTTTAATTCATTTTTTTCATATTCCAATTTTTTTTTAACAACTTATTACAATAGTTTCTGTACCTAGTAAAAGATGTTTTTAAGACTTCATTGTCTGGCGACTTTTTTAATTTTTTGTGCATATTGTCTCTGTGTCGGATACAGCGTAAGAGACCTGGAGTGATCCATGGCTTAATGATTTTTTTACGGTTTGGTACTTTCACGGTTTTTGTGTTTTTTTGGACCGCTTGTTTGATAAGACTTATCATTAAATCTGCTGCTACGTGAGGATCTTGGGTATTATATACTTCACCAAAGTCGATTAATTTTATGTCGTTAGTCAACTGATCATAGTTAATACGCGTCGTTGTTTTTTTAACCGCGATTTTGGGCATTTTGCTTGCGAGAAATAATAACACAGTTTCATGATCAGTTAGTGCTGAGTGGGCTACTAATGTTGAAGCAGGCAATAGAGTTTTAAGGACAAAATGATCAAGACATGCATTTTGTCTAGTGGGCAAAAAATGTGCAGGCAGCAGGCCGTGTGATGCTAATAAATTTAAATAATTAAGTTTGTTTGTGTCATGGCATTGTTCCTGTATGTTAATATTTATGTCCCCGGTTATTATTATATTGTTATAATGTGTGATATTAGTCAGGATTATGTCAAGCGAATGTAGGAAGTTAGTGATATCTCTATAACTTGGTGGTCGATATATTGCTAACAAAATGGTATTATGGTTTATTTTTATTTGGAGACAATTTGCATCTAAAAATGACGGTTCCTCTACAAAAACCTGTAGGTTTTCATTATGTATACAACTACTCCCTCGTTTTGTGTTAGATTGTTAGTAGTCTTAAAGTATTTATAACCTGTTAGGTTAGGAATATTGTGTGTATTGGGAAGCCAACATTCGGTTAATGTGATGATGTCCCAATCGACCTTAGTCCTAGCGAGTATGGTATAGAAACCTATCATATTTTTTGAAATACTTCTAATATTTTGATTAAGTATTTTTAGCGATTGCTTGGGGTTGAAATTAAATGGGATACAGTTTGTCTAAATCACAGGTAGATGAATCCGACACTGAGACAGAATCTATGTTGTTTGTGTTATTTAGTATATTATCGAATTTTATTTTGTTTGTTTTTCATAGTTACATTTTTGTAAGTGACATTTAATAGAACTAAGTTGATAATGACAATTAATTGGTCGCCAAAAGTGGTACAGAGAGGAAGCTGATAGTATATAATATACATAATTCCCGTATTGCACACAGCATGTGTATTCTTAGTTAATAATATTAGTTGTATATAATGTGTATATGTATTTGTTAGTGTAGTATTTGTGTGTTTTGTAGGATATCGTATGTATATTATATAATGTTGGTTATTAATACAGTTTTTTAATTTAATGCTATAAACATGCAACAAGAATAATATAATACTTTTGAACAATATTGAAGATAAAATAACGCAATCTAGTCATTTTTGTCTTCGTAGTTGAACTAGATCATCTTCTGATTTGATAAGTCGACTGGGCATCCCTTCTTTTTTGCGTATGTACACCTTACCATTGGCTGTCCAACATTGTTCGTATTCACTAGTCTTAATAAACTCCCGTGCAAGGTAGTAAAGTCTCTTTGTCATGGCGGTGAGGAACTCAGATACGTATAGGAAATGCTTAGGTCCTTTTTCGTGCAAGTGGGTTGTGTTAAGACGGTTTTCCTTGTTCTGTTTATTATAGTTTTAGTTGACTTCAAAAACTGTTCCTTTGCCGCCGTGGACGAGAACTCCACAATAACTGTACCCACTGATTCAGTCTTACTTTTCAAACGAAAAATATTTCTAATATCCGTTTCCAGTACGGAATGATTAATAATACTGCCTAGTTTTTGGACTGTGCTAATTAGAGTTTCACGGGTTTCAGGACATTGTAATGGTATATTTTTTATTTCAAGTGACGATGCTCTCAAATTTTTTTCCAAGATGTCTACCTTATTTTCTAAAGTTTTTATGATCTGCTGATTTTTGTTACACTCTGCTTTTAAATTATTAATCTCAAGCACCGCCTCATCATATTTTTCCGACAAAAATGACACGGTCTTCTGGATTTCTTCGTTTTGGGCACGGATTTCTGAGTTTAGAATACTAATTTTTGCATTTTGAGTTCGAATATCTTCAAGTGCCGTTTGCAGAGTATCCATTTTATTATTTTGTTGAGTTTGGTTCGATACAAACTCCTCAAACATGGTTTTCATCTCTATCATCATTTTTTCCATACGTCCTAATTCATCCGACTCACGTTTTCTTTTCCTCTGCGTTATGTTTAAGTTTTCATTATTAGAGCAGGATGTTAAATTCGGTTCAGAGGTATAGCAGGGTGATGCCGGAGCATTAGGAGGTGAGCGTCGTATCATGATTTAGTTTGAGGGTTTTTATTTTATTTTATTATTTATAAATATGTATTTCGTTTTAATAACTAAGGTATGAGAAGTAGTAGTATGATATTTTATTTACTCACAAGGCGACTCGTATCAGCATACAACAATTTAGTCTTGATGCGTAGGAGAAGATTTTGGTTAACGTAGTTTTATTGCCGAGATGACGGTGGATTGTCAAAAAGGTCGTTGCTTGAAGATATGTAGTAGCAAGGCCGGTCATTCACACGGCACGTCGCTATGTTAGTTATAGTATACTCGTATAACTTGTTATAATTAAAGTAGTTTGAAATAAGATCTGCAATAAAGTCTTAAGGCTTTTTCTTAAAACTAGTAAGGCACATGCATAATCACATTGAGCTTAGTTTAACATTAGAAAAAATGACATAAGTGCTCGAAAACTGAATTGAGTAGAGTACTTATAAAATATTCTCTTCCCTTTTAGAATCAAACTTTTGGATAACTTGATCAAACGACACGTCTGAAATGTCTCTATCATTTATTATTAAGGTCGTCCTTTCGTACCTTCTTGTCATAACTCTTTCGAAAAGAAACTCGTAAGTCATTTTCATCTTCATCAATTTCATTAACTACAGCGGCGTACCGATATTTAACATATTGCTCCGATCTCCAGTATTGTAAGATGAATTTCGAGTGCCACTGGCTCCGAATATTTCCTCATCAAATTTTTAGTAATCGTGTTTGGTGTTGATATTTCAGCTGATTCTAAGTTTTGTTCCGATTCAGAATCCGTAAACACTTCTTCTGTCAATCTAGTCAAGTTTACGGGAACGTTAAATGATTTTTTAAAAACTATTTAAAATCTATTTATTTCTAATTACAATAATTATAATTCTAATTACTTAATTAATACGTATTGACAGAAGTCGATGTCAAAACGAAGTGGCCGCTCCCATGAGCTCTGCCTGATATCTCATGCAACCAAAAGCGCTGACTCTACAGTTACTGGATACTGCCTAATGCTTATGCAGGCCCCTCTAGGTACAAACCCTAACAACCCTATGGTCTTGTGGTTGCATAACTCCTCCCTCTCTAAGAGCGGAATCATCGGCTTTAGTGTTTTCAGCTGTTGTCCGGTGATTCCGCCATCTGTTAACTAAATTACTTTTACATTTTCTTAAAACACTAAAAATTACAACAATAGGTAAAATGACATACAGTAATAAAGTAGCTAAGCTAACACCTTTAACCCTTATCACACTGTTATCACTTTGATCATTATGTTCACTGCCACTGAACTTAAGGTTTTGATTCGATAGATATGCTAGATGTTTCAGGTCGTCTAAGGCTAAGCCTTTCAGGTTAACTGTTTCAGTATCAGTCAGGTTCAGGTGATCTAGTCTTGGTAAGCTTATTACTGGTGTCACTCTATAGACCAATTCCTTAGCGAAGTATAAGCGGTGCAATAATTTATAGTTTTCTATGAAGGTCTCACAATCCTCACTAATTTTTATAATGAATGTGCCCAAAAGTGATTCTTTGGTGATATCATCTTGGCATTTGTTTGTTAATATTATTTTATGATTGGCGTATATAATCCAATTCACAGGGCCGATAGACTGGATTTTGACATCCTCAAGATCAACGAACCGATGTTCACATAGTGTAAGATTGCTTTGGAATTTCATCAGTTGTTCAGCAATGTGTTTCTAGGATAGGATACCATATTGGAGCTCGTACACAGGAACTCATCTGCCGCTCTTTCGGTGCACGGCCGAGAGACCGGTAAGTATTGTGAACCTTTCACCGAAATGTAAGGATACTTGGGAATTATTAGAGACGTTCTGTTTCTAAATGCATCGAATACAGGTAATGGGTATAATTTGTAATAATTTTAATGAATACTATCAGTAAGTGGAACTTCCATCAAGTACGTAATCTGGTTTTCTTTCATGTAAGCTTTTATAACAATAGTTCTTTCAATTTTTATTAAATTCTCTACATTTACAGGGTATACTAGGTTATCAACTTTGGCTATATCATTAAGTATCACTAACAGATCAGATGAATTAATAATTGATTGGTGTAATACTGAAACTTTACTAAAAGCTAAAGCGGTTTCTATTGCACTAAGTTTAAGGTAAATACTACGAAAGTTACTGATAAACATATTATACATGCCTAAAATATATGTATTATAAATTGAATTATTTTCTTTGGTAGCTATGTATTTCACTATTCGTTCAATTCTTTTTAGGCGTTCATCTAATATTAGTTCATTTTCATGTAAAATTTCTGTACTATTCGCCAAACTATTCAGCATTTTAGAAACAACGGTGATTTTACTGTCAACATTCAATTGATTCCGATTTAATTTAGATATAACGGAATCGTATCTAAGAGTATCTTCGTGATCCAAATTACCGGTGATAGTTTTAATGATTGATCCTAGGGGATCTATGAGAACTCTTTTAAACCTATTGGATGGTTAAATTTAAATTAATTTATTGTTTAAATTTTTCAATAGTTAAATCGCAAGAATAATTGGCTTGGGATTTCATGGCATGGAATTCATAAACATAAGGTTTATTTATATCAACTAACCTACAAAATTCTTTAAACTTAATAATATTTAAATCTAAATTTTCCTAAATTCCTAATAAATTTACTTCTTTGACTATAAGCCACCTGTTTGTTTGTTTAAAAGCTTGGCCTTCTTTTACAGAAAGCAGGCCCGGGTTGTTGTAAATTTTTTGAAGTTGAAGACTGCGGGTCCAGAGTATATGAGCCATAATCAGGATGGCCACGCACCACCTGTGGAGGTCGTTTGAAATTTTTAATAGGGACCTTTGTTTCCCGTTCACCTATTTTAACAGGCACGGTATTACGTTCTACAGGGCCTTGTACAACAACTTTCCTGTACCTAGCTTTGTCCTTACTTTCCTAATATTGATGTCCTTTACGTACGCTATTTGCCCTTCGTTAAGTACTACATTTGCTTCTCCTCCTTTCCTTTCCCTAGCCTTTTCTTTTTGTTCAATCATTCGATCGGAAATGTACTTGTATAAATATTTAGTGCGTTTTTGATGGTCTTTTAATAGCTGTTGAGTATAGGCCCTATCGAAATCATTATCAAAAACCTTTCAGGAATCCGTATGCACAAAGCGGACTTCAAACGGAGTTAAACTAGTATTGGAGTGTACTGTGTGGTTATAAGCCATTATAGCGCTCGGCTTTCTAATATCTTTACAAAACTGCTTATAATTTAGTATGGATTTGCCTGAATGCACATCGGTTGGTAATTTAACACGTAGTTCCGATCTAGGTGGCAAAATAAAAATGTGATTTTCAAAATTATGTACAATCGGAATATTTGTGGATTTTGTTGAAAGTATATGACGCTGATCGATGATAGCCTCTAATTATTTTAATAGGTCATTACCTATAAGGCCATCATAACCCGAATCTATTATAGATATTCCGATTATACCGATATTCAGGGCTTTTAAATGTGGGTGGTAGCGGAATAACTATGACCTGATTATGGCTACTTGTAGCATATGTACTGAAAACCTCGAAGGGTTCATTAAAAATTTCGTTTTGAAAATATTGGTATGTCTTGCTTCGGCTTATAAATGAATGCGTGCTACCGGTATCTTACATGAATTTTGAATCTAACTCCGGGATAAATATATAAGGTAATTTTAAATTTGTGTCATTATTTAGTTCTATGGTTTCACGGTTTTTGGCTTTATCGTCTACGTTCACTTGCAACGAATCTATGTCATCGTCAGAACCTAATGCGTTCAGTTTGATACGGGATAGTGCGTCAGCGTTGCTTGAAGCGGTTATGTGAAAATTTTCAATATTTTCCGTCGTCTTGATATTTGTATCAGCCGGTTTAGTTTCTGTTTCCGGGTTTACAGTCTTTTCTGATTGATATACGGGGTTATAGTAAGGGTCGTCGTTAGGATATTGATCGAAATAATTTGCGTTTTCGTAGCAATACATGTCATCATTATAATAATTTTCATTTAACTCTAATTCGTTTAACCTAAAACCTTGCTGCGGTCGTGCTACAGGTGCCGTGCGCATCGACACATCTGTGTTAATTCGCGGTTGGTTATGCTGAGATATATTACTTTTTGGAGCATTATTATTTGGAGCTTTGAGACGCACTACTCTAACTAAATGTTCCGGTAAATTATACAGGAAAACGTATTTTCAAAGATAGCCTTTTTACTATTGCGCATATTTGAGTCCGACAACCGGTTAACTTTACCCATTAAAATTGATCTCGTAGATTGAATTCGACAACAAAAATCTAAATAACTTTCTCCGGGTTTAACTTCTAAGGTCTCAAGTTCGATATTTAAACACTCTTCACTTCATGAATCTCCAAAATGCTGAATTAATAACTGCTTAAACTCATCCCACGTTGTAATATCATCGCGCTCACCTATTAATGCAGCTGCATTACCGATAAGGCGGCTTGTTATTGTATTCATCATGTACAAATTCTGTTACGTTGAGCCATTAAATTTAGTTATAACATTTTCACACTTTCTTAAAAATAGATTTAAGTGGCGTTTGTCACCATCAAACATAGGAATGATTTTAATCATTTCACCAGGGATAAGTGTAATATTCTCCATAATTATGTATTTTTTTTTACACACAAACAATATAAAAAGAATATGAAATAAATCTAACTAAATGTCACAGAAAATATTAAGGAATAAAATATATATGATTAATAAAAATACTTCTTTGTAAAATTATGATTTCTTGTATATAATCATCATCATCATTACAGCCCTTCACAAGTCCACTGCTGAACATAGGCCTCCCCCAAAGAATGTCACAAAACACGGTCCTGAGCCACCTGCATCCATCGACTTCCTGCATGTCTTACCAGGTCGTCACTCCATCTCGTAGGGGGACGCCTTACACTTCGCCTACCGGTACGAGGCTGCCACTCGAGAACCTTTCTTCCCCATCGGTTGTCGGTTCTTCGA